TCACGGAATGGTAATGTTCTCAAACCGTTGTGGTCTGAAAACGTGATATATTTTGACTATCATAGTATGTCTTTCAAGGGAACCAGGCGAGAAAATCAAAAATTTTTCTCTTTTCAGTTCCAAATGAATCAATAGAGAGCAAGGCCAGGTGACCTGTCTTTGCAATGTTGCCAAGACAAGCATCGTACAAAATCGTAAGCCCCACTCACCCTTCACTTATTAATGCATCCAAATCTGGATTTCTGACCAATCTGCCAAATCTTGTGAATCGAGATGACCAGGGATCGTTCTTTTGTCTAAGTACAAGTGCATTCATATCAGTCGACCTCTCCTTTGACGTGACAAATGATATTATCCACGTCAGAAGCGAAATTGGATCTCTGCGGAACTCTTGGGACAGCCTTTGAATATAACAAGAACCTTACAGAAATTTGGTCTTATCAAAATAAAATCATACGTTCTAACGCTTAACAAAAACTCTCTTTCCCAAAACTACTCACACGATCTTTCTTATATAAAAAACAATGCCGTTTAGGGTTACCAATTTTTTAATGGACTTGTATATCATGCATGTAAGATGTCAAAAATTCATCTTTGAATCCGATCAAATTTGAACTTTGCTCTATAAACCTCAATCTTTTCTCAGAAAATTGAAAATTTGAGCCAAAAAGAAAAAAAAAACACTATTGGTTGACCATGTATAATCCTAATACACCCAGAGTTACTTTCAACGGATTTCGGAGTCCTGTTGACTTCATTTCATTCCTGATAAATTTGGAGATATTTCCTTCTGGCTAATCTCTATTAAGTGGTTGTGCAGCACTTACAAGTATAACGGAAAGTGCAATGTTTTCCTGATACAACGAGTACCTGAGAGGCGAGCACAAAACAACTGGTCATTTTACTCTTCATTCAAGCATCAAAAATAGCCTACTCTCTTCCTTCTCCTTGTAAACGTGGCTTGGATTTGACGAGCACGCACCAACAATTATAGAGACAAATACTGATTATATTTTCTTTTTAAAACCTGAACAATTGATTTTTCGTTTACAACATGATTAGCAGTATATCTCAGGGTAGCAAACATGAAACTCTATTAATGTGGCAGATGACTTTCGCTCGCTGAATCTTTAACTGGTGAAGTATTAAAACCAGTGAAAAAATGAAATGCAAAAAAAAAAGTGTGATATCTGAGCTTAAGGGGTAGCCTTTGAACCTCGCGAAATTCCTTATGAGATAATTTTTGGCGAGGGTTGTTTTAACCCTACTGATTGGTTGTACATCTCCCATTACACCTTTAAAAGGTAATTAAAAGAGTCTTTATGGATAACGTTGAGCAGGTGATCTGGATTCCGTGACTGACTGAATCACTATCCACGAAAGCGACTAAATATGTCCATTTTTGAAACACTCACCTTTTTAGCATCGCACAGAATCTGAAAATAGCCTCAGGTGTTGGATAAGGCCGCATAACAAGGTGATAAGAGAGGAAAAGAACTAGCGTTCGCCTTCATTTAATTAGGATTTTCAATGTCAATTTAGGAGAGAAAAATCCAAATGAGATTTCCATCGCAGACTGAAAAAATAACCGAGGGCACATTTTTGCAATCTTCCGATTTTTGGTTAGCCTGAAGGCTTTAAGTTTCTGTTCTTTTACGTAGGGATTCGGATTTCACGAGTTTAGTTTTCTGTGCGCTTTTCTGTTGCTTCTTTGCTGCTTTGAAGAAGGTAGTATGTTCGAGTGAGCGAATGGTACATTTTCGTTTCATCTATTGCAATAAATTGCTCATTCCATGTAAAAACCACGTGGATGTTTTCAATGAATGGCATGTTGATCCTGATATTTGTACACTTGACTGCCGCTATTCTCAAAGAACTTTTTCAAGTTCCTCTCGTACTTCAATTAACCTGTAAGTAATACTAACTTCGTTGTCAATGCAAACTCAGGTTGGACCGGTTTGCAAGAGTTTAAGTTCACATAAGTGCATTTTTCAGTTGGTCTAACTGTACTCTCGATAGGAGATAATCAAAAAGAGGTTATGGAAAACCTTTCCAGTTATGGGCATGTGGTTATGAACATAAATTATGGAATCTAAAGAACCGATATGCTAGAGACAAAAAAGTTTCATCCGCCATCTTGGAAAAAAAGTGGACTGCGCCTGCGCATCTTATCAGCCTTGCTTGGCCGTTCCCGTGTAACATTACACTTGCAATTGTGACTTGATTTGCCATTGCGACCTAGTGTAATTAAATTTCTGGATTATTACAAATACTAGCCCTCGGTAATTCCTCGATTACAAGGCGTTCTATTAAAACTAACTTTATTCGCGGACAACCGGATCTCTGTAGCAAGTATTCTGTTTTGTTTTTTTCTTCCCCACATAACCACTTTTTCGGTCTCTGTCAAAAGCACTCACTGTACCCCCTGCAATGGTCTTGATGAAACGAATTTCGAAGAATTATATATCTTTTGTAACTTTTCCAGATTAAGGTGAAATTTGTAAGCTTTAAATAGCTCCCTTGGTATTGTGTCAATATCAAGAGTTTTTTAAAGTAAGGTTATCAACCTTTTCATATCAAATGCGATTAAGCACTCTCCTACTTCCTTTGAGTATGCAAGTTTGGAAATCACGGCATGAGATTAATTTGAGTCATGATGTCAACTCAGTGGCAGTCCTTTATCCGATTGCGCCTGCGTTCTGGCGTCTTGAACCTTTCTATCGCCTATATTTAGCTTGTGGATAAAAACTGATGTTCCCAATCTACCATATTGCTTCTTGACAGAATATAGGGCTACACGGGAAAGAATCAGGTCGAACCGTTAATTACTTGAGACTCCGTTGCGAACGACAGAGGTAAACATGCAAAAGGATATGGATAGATTTAAACTTGGGGTCATTGTCTAGAGCACTGCCTGGGTAATTTAATGAAAAAAGAAAATAAAAACTTCGTCATGATCAAAAAGTAGCTTTTCTATCGCTCAACGTTATGCAAATTTTACGCTTGTTTTCCTTTTCCATGGCTGAAACGAACTTAACGCTGATCAAAGGAGTTCCTGAGCTCCATCAAGTCGCAAGAAAGGCGTGACTGATTCAAGTAACCTAAGGATTAATTATTTTGCTATTGAACGATAGGTAAGTTACACGTTTCCTGGTGTAATAAAGAAGATTGATTTAAAGACGCCATTCATGACAACTTACTTGACCTTCTTGATATTTCCATATTGTTTTTTTGTGTGTGTTTTTTCTCAGAATTACTTGATTTAAAAATACACCTCCTTTTAGAAGAATAATACACCGATATAAAAGCGATGGGCTGCATTATGTTTTCTTCAATGTGCAGTTTAACCAAACAAGTTGTTTTTCCAACACAGATAAAGTTAAAGGAGTAATACAAAAACAAAAAGGAAATATTTATCATGGTACCACTTTCCTCAAGGTATATGAGTCAGCCGCACGCATCGAATTTCATTGAATTTAAGTCTTGATTGTTTGCGTGCTCAATGTTACATTAGAGGGCATAAAAAGTCAAATCGTCTTTAAGAGGAGAAGTGTTCTATAATTCGTATTATTCAAAGTCAACAAAGTTTTAGTCCCAACCGAGCGTTAATTTCAAAAATTTGAAAACACCACAGTGCAGCGTCGACGCTATCACGATTTTCTGTTGAACAAAGAATTTTTAGGCGTAAGACACGGTTGGCCAGAGGCCAATAGCAAACATTAAAGATTCCCGTTGCAAGCTCTAGGATCCTCGACTTCAAAAGAGTTCTCGTCTTATAAACTGAGGGTGTTCTAGCTCTTGTATATGGCTTCCTTCTTTTCAAACTAGACACGGACCGATCCATATTGGCAAATTGCTCCTCCAAGAATGGCTATCTAGAATCATAGGTTACAGGTGGTTTTTAGGTTAAAACACTCTAGAGACGTCGGAGGGGTAGCTTTCTAACAAGATTTACCTACAAATTCCTTCACCTCAAAATGAAAAAAAATTTTCCAGGTAACTTAAAGCATATGTCCCACGAACAACGACAACCTGAATTCTTCTCGGTTACGAAAATGATTATTTTCAGTTGAACTTTGTTTACTTAGCATCAAATAACAACACAACTATACCTTGGAAGCCTTTTGAGAGGTTCGTTCCACAAATCTTTCTAGCAAGCGGCGTGCAAGACAAGACTTAAAGAGTGTCAGTGTTTTGACAAGGAAATGTCGGCGTTGCTACCGGTCGCCATCGTCAGAAATTCAGTAAACAGGTTTAGGACAGAATTTCCTCTAAAGCAAACAAAAAAGAATGCAAAAAGATTATGGTCTCGCTGTTTGATTTTAAAGCTAACAGAAAGTTTCTGCAAGAACCAACTGCGAAGAAGAAACTCTGCTTACCAGCGATTCCAAAATCCGCACTTCAAGAACGTTTAGTTGTTGCCAGTATGCCAACGTTTACTGACCAAAGGACACGAATTTCGAAAGCTGCAATTTGGAAGAAAATCTAAGACTTCTGGCCAAGTGATAAATAATCACGTGCCACAGCAATGGAAGTTGGCAGAAACTTGATCTGTGTTTACCCACGCTTGTGAGCCGGAATGGACATAATACTTTCGGGGCTGTTCGGAAAAAGCGATTTGCAACATGTCAGGAAAGCCTGTCTTTCTGATTTCAATTTTTTATCCGCACGTTTACCCCTTGAATAGTATCCTTATATTTCTTTGATAAAACCTAAATGTTGTATTTAAAACCTTTTTTCTGTCAAAATAACTTTCAGATGGTTTTGCAATATGCAAAAATATACGCGAAAGGATTTCCAAAATGCCTAAACCAGATGGTGAATATTCGAGTTAAAGAGACTGGAATGAAAATCTGTTATTCATCTTCTTTAATTCCAAGTTAATCGTTTTTCCATCACTCCCGCAGACGCAGCGATCAATTAAGAAATTACCAAAATTGTGGTTTAACTGTTTGTTTTGAATAAAAATCTCGACTGAAATCTTCAAAATTCCCGCTGAGATTTGCTTACTATGGATTATCTTAAAGTGATCAACCAGAAGCACTAGTTCCTTGTACCAGACAACGGAAAACGTTGCCAAAATATTTTACAATGACCTGAGGGTAAATCGTTTAAAGACTTCCTTATTAAAACCATAAATCCTTTATTTTCGTTTGTTTTGTGTTTTATTGTTCTCGTTTTTAGTAACTAAAACACCGAGTGTTTAAACGCGGCAAGGGAATGGTATCCCTATCAATGACTGTAAATTTATGAAAAACCATATATGTGACCTGCGGTTCATGAAATGAAAGTGAAAGCGATCTTCGCAGTCACGAACACTACTAAAGCAATAGCGAAAATAGGGCCCGAAATAAAATTTAAGGCCTGTACAGCCCGTATCGTATAAAATTGCCCACTCCAAATAAATACCGTAATCAAAGGTTCCACTTTTTGAAAAACGATCTTCAGTTCTTGGGAAGAAACGGTCAAGAAAATTTCTCAAACACAGAAAATCAATAACTCAATTAATTAGCAAAATGAAGTCAATTAGACAGTCAGCTCATTCATCCTTCCATGTGTCCGTCCGGCCGTTCGTACAACCATCCATCCATCCATTTATCCATTCACAACCCCCTCAATCATCACTATTACGATTTCGTCCGTCAACAATCAATAAAATGTGATAAATTTTGATTGTATGACTATCAGTAAATCTCTTGGATTCAAATGAACCAGTTTGTCAGACTGATAATCATTTCGTCTCCTTCAACTCATTACTTGTCCCAATGAGATTTCGATAAACTCGACTAGCCAGTGTTAGAGCACTCTAACACCAGCTGTGTCTGGCTAGTGTTACATATATTCAACAACTGAAGTGGTGTTACCGCTTCACTATAGCGTTTGGTTTTCCTGTTTTTTCACTTGTAGTATTTCTTTGCTGCCGCAGCCGCAAGTGTTCTACCACTGACACAACTCTAACACAATAATAACTGTCTGACTCTAATATTTTTTATGTAATAAAATTCATAAATATACGTATTTTGCATTAGTTTGATCTTAATCTGGAAGAAAATAATGTTTTTGTGTTATTTTTCGGGAAAAAAAAGGAAAACTGCCCTTTTGCAAAGTTAATCTAAAAATATTTTGTTACATGGTCAATTGTTTCATTCAGGTATGCCGGTAAGCTCACAGCTCGCTTTCCAAAGTCTCCTCTGAACATCTTCACTGTATGACTCATCTGAAGATTGTGTTGATTGACAGTTGACGAAATATTTACCTCCCTTGCTTTCTAATTCTGGAGATAACGCAATGTAAATACTGTTTTCTGCCCCTTGCTGAGGAGTCTGGAAGAAATGGTAACTACAGCTTGGTAAACCTGCAAGTTATTGTCTTAACTATTGTCTTGTACTATGTCTTAACCATGCTTGAGTCTGTGTGTCTTGAAACTGAGTAGGCAGCACAGACCTGCGATCAGATCGGCAATATTAAGATCTGGTGACCCTAAGTAGGCCTCTGAGGGAGAGATTTTTTCAATATTCTAACGAAATCTTACCTTAAAAAGAAAATAAGCTAATACATTCTGAGGCATTCTCATGATCCATGGAATATGCTGGAACAAATCAGTATTGACTACTCCTGGATGCACTGCATTAGCTGTTACAGGGCTTTCTCTCTCTTCCAAGCGTTTTTGAAGTTCATAAGTGAATAGAATATTTGCTAACTTGCTTTGACTATACCCTGAATAGGGTGAGTAATAATATCTGTGGGAGAAAACAGAAAGTAATGTTAGTAATTTACCATCTGATTTCGAGCCCCTAACCCCTGCCTAGCCCTACTACAGCTTCATGCACATACTTTGTGCTCCTTTTTCCCCCCTGCCTCCCCTCCCCTCCCCCTAAATTCTTCCCCATCTCTCATAAACCTCCATATATTTAATAGGGAACTGAGATTTGCTGTTTACTTTGTTCACAAACAAAGGATGGTTTCTTTTCCTGACTAGTGCAAAAGGCAGTCTACTGTATTACCAAGCCTCCTGAATTTCACCTAAATCAGTGGGGCAATGTATCTGAATGATAAAAATTTAACAACTAGAACATGACATACAGGTACATACTTGCTCTGGAGATCTTCAAAGTTTATTTTTCCTGGAATGTGTGCCTCAGATGACAATGTGACAACCCTTGAGCATCTATCTGGTGAACCAGACCTGATAAAAAATGTGATATACAGTGTGGATGGGTTACTAGAGATTGCAAATGGTTCCTTCAAAAAATAGTAGTGCCAACTAAATTTAAAAATGGCAAAATGATGTTGCAGCTTCTAAATTCTACATAGAAAATACTCTAGTATGCTCCATCAATATTAATTAAGGAAACCAAGATCAATATGCAGTTCCTTATGTGACCATAAGACTTTTCAACCTTTTAAATCCCAAGGCCTGATTGTTAATTCTCCCCTCTGGCTGCTGCAGAATTCCATGTAAATTAGTTATGAGAATTTGCTGTTAGATCAAGACAACAACCTCTACCTGATAAGTTAGATTATTCTCATGACCTGTTTGCAGGACAATGTATGGATATCAGAGGGAGAAGTTACATGTTTATCAATTCTGGGATTTAAAGGGTTGAAGGCCTTTTTGGCTTCTTTAATTAGCCCCTTAAATAATTATTTCCTCAAATGCGTCAGCAAAACTGTTGGTGAGTTATCCTCAGCAAAACTTCACTCCTGGTTAAAATTTCAGACCATTGCCTTGGCAAGTAGATGCGAATCAATTAACAAATAGATTCCATAAATTATTGCTGTGCATCTGTTCTGTAGTAGATCACAGATGACTTCAAAATATAGTGAGAACAGCTGAGTGTGTCACTAATGTTCTTCCCACATTTTGACATCTTCTGTTATCTATTATTGTAAAGCACTGTGTCAAAATGAAATCTATTTGTTTTAATTATCTCTTAACCTTTTACACACTAACATCAGTATCAAAATTCTCCACACTGTTCTTTATAGCTTTACTAAGGTGGTGCTGACAAGGTGAATTTGTTTGCCAATCAGAAGGTTCCTTCCCTGGTGATCATTTTTTTTATTCTTATGACGTTAATGTGTGATTCAGGGGTGATATTTTTGGGAGAAATTAGCTGCTAATCACTCCTAGGGTTTAAAGGGTTAAAAAAGCCAAATGTTGTTAATTGTGAAGAACATCGTCCATGCAACTGAACTACAATAGATCATACACAAGAACCAATCAAATTGTGCGTAGTATTCAGTGCATCATATATTTGAGAATAGCTGACAGTTAAATGGCTCATTTGAGTCAATCATTTGCTTAGACGCTCACTTGATCAAGTCATCTAAGAGCAGATTGGTCAGAGCAAAGTGTCCAAGATGGTTCACCCCAAGTTGAAGCTCAAATCCATCTTCAGTTTTGCTGTAAGGTGGGATCATTATTCCTGCATTGTTCACAAGGATGTGAAGAGGAAGTCCTTTTTTCTTGAAGTTCATTACAAATTTCCGTATTGAAGCAAGGCTCGCCAGATCAAGTTCCATGTATTCCACTGATTTGCATGAAGAGATGAATAAAAAAAAAAGATGCTGATCAAATTTACTATACTGGGTGCTATTTACACAATGAAGTTCAACATCAGAATGCTAAGTATTCATTATATATATGTTTATTAATAAGGATTCAAATCATCCCTAGTGGGTAACAGATATTCAGATCCATGCATTAATTGGGAAGAAGGAATATAAAAACTGATTGAAATACAAATTTTACGTTTTATGTAATTGTAAGAACATAATTTCAATATTTCAAGTTTTCAACAATTGATCAGAATGATTTCCCATTCAGGAGATACTGAACTATCATGAACTAAAATGAGTCTTAATTTATTAAGAAAAAATAACATTAGGTAAGTAGATAAATGTGCGGGGGGTGGGGGGGGGGAGATGTAGAATAACTTTTGCTCCACTTTTTTCCAGGCATTTTACAACTCTTACAATCTATTGTTTTATTTTCTTTTCAAGTTTCAAGTTTCTCCTGATTAAGAGGTGGCCAAAATTTTTGATGTGTAATTTTCACCCCATTAAAATTATATACAATCTTCATGTACATTGATTTTCATGACTTTGTTGTTTCTCAAGTTATGTTGCATTCAAAATTGCAACTTGTAACATCAAGGCCTTAAGTGGATCTTCTAATTCTTTTAATAGTTGGGGTTAATTATGCTGCAACCAGAGCTCTGCACTCAGAGTTTACCTTCAGCTTGAGGCAACTCCTCCCTTAGTTTTTTTATTGCTTTCTCTGCTTCTGCTGTATCTCTACAAGCTTAAGAAAAATTAACATGTTCAAAACAGAATTATACAAATACAGGATTATACTTCATTTTTACATGAGTTTACCAGGCGGAATATTTTCAGTAGCCCTTTGAAATGAAGGAAAGTTAACTTTACCCTCCTAACGAGTCAAAGTTAATTTGAAAATTAATGCTTATTCTTTTTCATGCAACAAACAGTACCATTATACCCTCTAGACATTTTTTTTCAAATCTTTATTACTTCCATGAGTAACCACGACAGAATTTCTCCTCATATTTTCAATACAAAATCAATCAGACAAGTGATGAGAATAAAGAAAGTATCAGTTAGGGGATTATTAGTTGATCCACTGCAAAACTCTCTGAAACGTCATAAAAAGAATTGTATGACAGACAGTGAGAAGAGTTACCCAATGAGATCTTGGGAGTGAAAGGGTAATAAACTATAAGTTCATAATACAAAACAGTTACAGCATGAACACATTCAATTATGTCAAATGCTTCAAAACTACTGGATAAAGCCAAAAAGGTCATTACCAATTATAACTGTCATCTGTGCCTTGCAAAGCCCTCTGACTGTTTCAAGACCAATGCCCTTGTTCCCTCCAGTTACTATAGCAACCCTTCCATCCAAATTAGGAATCACTGTATACAAGAAAATCTTATTAAATGAAACATAAATTAAGAAACATGCAAGCTTTGGAAAAGGGAAAGGGTAGGTGGGGGCCTAGGTTTATAGATGTAATGGCAATGAAAAAACCTCAATGTCTTAGCTTAAAAATCTTAAGACTCATTGTCTGGCAAAACAATCTCAGGAGGGCTAGTCAGAAATTTTCCATAGCACAAAATTTTGCAAAATCACAAATAAGCAGAAGTAATTTCAGTGGTATAACTAAAAAAAAGGTTAAAATTTGATGTGAATGTTCATAGATATGTCCTCTTGTTAGAACTGGCCTTGCCCTCTTGACAGGTAGCAGATCAGATACTACACTGAAACACATGCAATGAATGTGCACACACCTGATGACGATGATAAGCCAACTATGCAATATGTAGTAAGTCACGTGATTGTATATTATGTAAGAAGTGTTATTATTATAATAGTAAATACTGTGTGAAATACAAATGAAACATAAAGACTAAAAGGTAAAATTTCTGCACAGCCCCATCCTACATTATGCATTTAGTTCTTGAACAGAGAAAACAATGACAAAAACAGTACATTTCCATTGGGAAAACAGATTTGTTTTACAATAGTATGGAGCTTTAACTTTACCGAAGAAAAATAAGGGAAGACAAGGTGGTGATAATATTGAGGATGATAACGATGTAAATATCAAAGCACATGGTGAATGAATTTAAAGAACACCATGTGCATGTATAATGGTTGATATCTCGAATGATATGATATTTACACGTAGCTTTTTCTCCGCTTTTTTTGTTGTTGTTTTATTTTAGTAACCTGAATCTTTTTAAAAATGTGTTTATCTTTGCATACAGTTAAGGCTGGAAAAAATTACAGTGTTTCAAGGACACCAATTTACCTTCAAGAGAATTGTGTTTGGAAAAAACTTGTTTCATGAGGACTTTGGCGCCATTCAAGTAGTTCATAAGCATCGCACTCGCCATAATTAAGATCAAGAAGTACGGACCGTAAATAATTAGATCCCAAACAACTGTATTCTGTGTGAGTAGCTGATATTATTGTTTTCTGAAGTTTGAATATTGCGTGACAAGAGAGATAAGACTGTCTCACGACTGAGAGGGATTCTCGCTACCAGTCCCTCGAGAGAGAAAACAATTTTAACGTTTTGATCGGATCGGTTTTGTCTGGTTCTCGTTCAGGAGACTTTAGGAATTATTAACCGGAACAATCCCTTCTTTCCGGAAACAAAATTGCTTCATGACAAGACAAGTCACCGTTTCGTTTTTTCTTAGAATGTCCACGGACTCTATGATCTTACGAAGTACATTTATTTCTTCATTCGCACGGCGCTCATTCAGAAAAAGAACATTACATCAACAGTATGCCTCTTATTGTTAAAGTTAATCCAGGGAACGTTTTAGGGAAATATCCTGACATTACATCGCCTGATGGTCTTATTTCTCCACCGCCGATAGAAACAGAATTGAAAGAGACTTCGCCGCTTCTGCGGGAAAAGATCAAGGCAAAACAACGTCAATTTAGGAAAGCTGTTTCGCGAAAGATACAGAGAAGACTTCGAAACATGAAGCGAACTCCAGTACTGATGCTAATTTTGATCGAGGTTTTTGAACGGTTTGCATACTATGGGATACTCATCAACTTCGTTTTGTTCCTGAACAAGTGTTGTGGTTGGACTATGTTTTTGTCAGTGGCAAGTGTAATGACATTTTCATCAATTTCGTGGTTCATGTGTGCTCTAACAGGAATAATGGGTGATTCGCGTTTTGGTCGCTACAATACCATCGTGAGTGGCTTCCTGGTTTATTTCTTTGGTGCTTTAACTCTTGTACTTGTGGCCTTTTTAATGGGATATTTTTACCTCGAGAATGGGCAACCTCGAGATAGAATAGACCAGCCTTGGATTTTAATGATTTTACTCGTGGCGTTACTGAGTATCTGTGCTGGAGAGGGAGCTGTAAAGGCGAATTTATCTGCTTTTGGGGCAGACCAGCTTAAGAGAGATGCACCAGTGCAGGAGAACAAGATGTTGTTTAATTGTTTTTATTGGATGTCCAATGTGATTTCGTTGCTGTGTCTGGCTGGTGTTACGTATATTCAACAAATGAAGTGGTGTTACGGCTTCACCATAGGGTTTGGTATTCCTGCTTTTTCACTGACAATAGCGTTTGCAATATTTCTTTGCTGTCGCAAGCATTTCGCCATTGACAGGCCTCGCGGCACTGGGCTCAGGAATATGTGGCTTATTATGCGTCAAGCCTGGTCAAGGAGAAAAGCTGTTAAAGTGGAAGAGAGGTAGTCATCCTGGGCTTGTAAAATAAAGAATGATATAGATTTTGAGTATGCTCACATGCTGACCACTAGTAACAGGGACCTCTCCCCCCTCTCCTCCCTCCTCCCCCCCCCCCCCCTCACACTTAGAATACAGGATTACACATCTTTTACACAAGTTTACAGGGGAGCTTGATGCCAGGTAGGTGATGCCAGCGGCGTCACAATCAATGGCTATGGGTTTGATAATCTCACTTTTCCACACCAAGCAACTTGAGATCTTGGCAATCTGGAAACCTACAGCTGTAAACAGAAAATCTTTTAACTCTGCCTTTGATATTCAAGGCCTGGCTGTCAACTTTCATACGCTGCTTAAAATTTTGATAACTGTCTTTACTGATATTTTCTCTGTCGTATTTTGTTCATCTGTCTGTTCTTGTTTTGTTCATTTGTTTTGTCCTGTTTTTCTTAAAGGGAGTTAATTCCAAGAAGTACTTGTACTTCAGAGAGTGATTTTTCTCCAAGTGGTGGAGACTGGCTCGACATGGCACTGGTGGCTTATGGTGGAACATTTATGGATTCTGAAGTGAATGAACTCAGGGCATTGAAGAAAGCTGTTGTGTTTTGTTTGCTCTTAATTCCATACTGGATGATTTATACTCAGGTAACTGAGAATGAGGTTTTAAGACATGTTTCAAATTCTACAGCTAAACATCTTCTGGTGATGTAGAGCTGCAAAGACTTCTGTTAGTTTGATGTTCATGTACGCTGTAGATGAGAGTTTGTATTGATATTATTATATTACAATCAAAGAAAAATTTTTAATTGACATAAAAAAATTCAAGGTGTGTAATCCAACACTACTCTAACAGTTCATCATTTTTTGCAATGGAAGGCCATCAAAGTGATTCTAGAATGAGAAAGGTGACTGATTTTTGTTTACAATCAATTTTGGGATCAGTTGGTCAATTACTCAATAAGCCTATTAACAAACATAGAAATCATAAAGGAAGAAAGAAAGACAAAAATACACAAAGTCAACAAGTATTCAAACTAACATTTGGTTGGTGGTTTGGTTTGCCAGTAGGTCAGTCATTTGATAAATCAGTCAGTCAGTTGGTCCATCAGTCAGTTGGTCAGTTGGTTAGTAAGTCATTCAGTCAGTCAGTCAGTGAGTTGGTCAGCCAGTCAGTTGGTCAGCCAGTCAGTTGGTCAGTCAGTCAATCAGTTGGTCAGTCAGTCAATCAGTTGGTCAGTCAGTCAATCAGTTGGTCAGTCAGTCAATCAGTTGGTCAGTCAGTCAATCAGTTGGTCAGTCAGTCAATCAGTTGGTCAGTCAGCCAGTCAGTTGGTCAGTCAGTCAATCAGTTGGTCAGTCAGTCAATCAGTTGGTCAGTCAGTCAATCAGTTGGTCAGCCAGTCAGTTGGTCAGTCAGTCAATCAGTTGGTCAGCCAGTCAGTTGGTCAGTCAGTCAATCAGTTGGTCAGTCAGTCAGTCAGTTGGTCAGTCAGTCAATCAATCAGTCAGTCATTCTGTCAACCAATCAAGCAACCAATTAGTTACAAAATAGTCAAACAGTTAGTTGGCCAGTTAGGGCCTCTCTACACTAGCAGACAAAGCTCAACATTCAAAGCTAGAATTTTCCTGACAAAATCAAAGAGAAAATTTTGTCATGACATGTTTTTGTATCTGGTAGGCATTAAAAATTTAAAAGCTGTCAAATTCCATCAGCTCCTGACCTGTTCATAAGATGAGCCAGCATAGTTTGCCAAAGTATTCCACCTCCAATTTACAGGATTTATCCTAAGTTGTTTTAAATTATTTTAGAATTCCTGAATTTTGCAATTTATTTCAGTTCAATTACATGCTAGCAGTGTGTTTGAAGATTTGTCGGCTGTGGCAAAAGTTTTTTAATGTGACAAACCATTTGCAGTTGTAAAATGTTAGTGATAACAGAAAATATGTCTGAAGAAACAACAGTACTTTTTCGCTTGCATGGAAAATCCCTTAGTCAGTCAATTAGTCATTCACTCAGTTATAGTCAGTTTTTCTCAGTCATTTAGTCTTTCAGTTGGTCAGTCAGTCAGTTCGTCAATTGATCAGACAGTCAGCGTCTGCAGTCAATGAGCCAGTCCAATCAATCAATTGAAGTCCTCATTTTACATCTGTGAGTCTGTGTACATTGCAAAAGACAAAAGGAGGGAAAAATGGAAATTTTTAAAACCCACAATGTTGTTATTGACATTCATATTTTCAACTGAAACTGAATTTCAATTTATTTAATTAGCTTTACAGCACATTTATCCTGCAAGGTCTTCACCTCAAGGCTGAATATGGAGGGTTTATTATCCCTGCTGCATGGCCAAGTCTCTGTGAGATTTTTATTCTTCTGATCCTTGTTCCGATGCTGGAGAGAGCTATATATCCCAGCCTGAATGGGTGTGGTATTAATGTCTCCATCCTTGGAAAGGTCATCTTAGGAATGTTCCTGGCTGCTGGTTCAGCTGGAATGGGTGAGTACAAGTTTGGGGCAGATTCAAAGGTGGTTCAGGTGTTTTGGTCAAACTCCCTACACTGAATTTGAAAAACATCTAAACACATGCAAATATTGGGAATTTTTTCTACAATAGTTATCCCTGAAAAAAATGAGAAATCATTTTTTTAAGATCTCAATTTCAACATTCTTGGCAGGGGCATCACCCCTCACCCTTCCATGGATTGCCCTCTTTTTGGTAGACATTTATCCAAATGCTCCTTTACTCCTCCTAGATTTACCAATGGTAAAAATGCACAAATTTCATGTAATTTGTACCTGCAAAACTTTTCCTACATCTTCTTCATGTATCACAATCAGAAAGGGCTGATTTTAAAGAAAAATAATTATACCAAATGCTTTCAAATGCCAATATACATATTTGTACCTGTCAAAGATTGAAAATCAGTAATGAAACAGTCATGTACAGTGTACATATAGTCTGCTTCAAAAGGGTGGTGCTGGTGGCTGCTAAAATCTTACACATTCAACACTCCTTTGTCCTTTCTTTTTTCACTCTACAGCTGGTTATGTTGAAAAAGAAATGACAAACAGTTTTTTTGATGCTGGTTCTGTCAATCATACTGCCAGTGGGGAAAGATACCCTGTGGTGAGAGACTATTCTATTTGGTGGCAAATTCCACAGTACACCCTGATGGGTATGAGTGAAGTCTTCACAAGTATTCCAGGTAAGGCAGTGTACTGTCTTGTTCATGTTATACATGTACCAGACACTGTTTAGTTTTGTTGAATTGAATTTAAACAAGGAATCTAAAGTATAGACAAAGGAATTTTAGGGTATGAATTAGATTACATGGTAGTGTTTATGTTGCATCATATGTATTTATAGCTTGTAAGTTATGTTCGTATTGTATTGTAAGTAATTCAAGTGAGTTGCAAAATAAAATTAAACAAATAATAATTATAATGAATAACAAAACCAAATAAAAAAATGTATTTAGTTAAATTTAGACAGCTACGAACAAGGCAGTGTCATCATGATTATCTACACTTTTATATATGTTTTATCTTCTTATTAATGATACAGTAACTTTATGACTGAAGAAGCTGATGAAGCCTAAGACAGTATCTTTCAAAGTGTGTTGGCTTTCATCTTTTATACCCAATTCGCAGCCCTGCAGGGAAGCATTTCCTGCCTTTCACTTGGTTTTTTCCTGTTTTGATAAGCCTTCCTCCCAAACCTCACATTTCCATAAAAACTTACAGCATCCACATAATCATTGCATTTTGAATTTTTTTTGTGTACTTTCTTTACTTGGAAAATGATGTAAAAGGAAATAAAAAATAATGCAGTTAACCAATGTATGTAAAACGGCAAATACTGGAGGGTTTTCACACTCATTTTAAAACCATTTAGAAGATCCTTCTAGTTAGACTTAATGTTTCCTGTTTTGTATGGGTTCTTCATCATTTAGTTGAACACTCTGCACTGAATCGAAATATGGCGTCCAGTTTGAATTGCCATTGTTCTAGAGTGACTAGCCTCATCTTCACGAGGAAATACAAAACGATTATCGCATCTATGAGAGGCTAGTTAGTCTAGAACAATGGCAATTCAAATTGGATGCCATAAATTATTTTGCTTCGGTTAATATGAATTTGATTTATGTACATTACCCAAGATTCATGGCATATCACTTCTATGATTAGATATTTTAATTTGTAGCAAGTTCAACTTGTTTTACTGATCATTTTGGTATAACGTACTCGTATTTACTATCTGATTTTAACTCTAGGACTTCAGATGGTGTTCACCATGTGCCCGGACACACCACAAAGTGTGACATCTGCAGTATTTAACATCATGATAAGTATTGGAAGTCTGCTGAGTCTTAGCATTTTAGCGCTTACCGCTTATCTTTGGGGGTGGTACCCCAGAGCCAGGGAAGGGGCACTCGGGTACTATTTGGGTAATGACAAAGTTGCCTACTATTACTGGCTGTTAGCAGTAGTGACGGTCGCAACAGCACTTTTGACTTCTATTGTAGGATATACTTGTGATATTGGACCTGACAAAAATGGAATTAAACACCAAGTGCTGGTCAATGAAGAGACTTCGACACAAGGTCAGCTTTCAAATGCCGGGGTTGATTCAAAAAATAACACATTTGTGGAGCTCAGCTCGTGACAAACTGTGTTCACTGTTTAAAATATTTATTCTAAATTGGAAGTGCGTTTGGATGTGAAGCTGTTGTAATGTTTCAGATTGGCAAGCTTGTATACGTAAAGTATTGTACGCTGCAAATTAGTTTCCGAACATCATTAAACGAAAGATACAGTACAATATATGTTGTTCGAATAAGCTAAGGTGGACCTTTATTGCTCATTTCAAGCGGATGGAAATTAGCCATGCATTGTGATGTTAATGCTTCAGTTTACAGTTTTTAAATCAAGTACTTGTTTCATTTCTAAAATGCACGGGAAATCGCTTTTCACAATTTAAATTCTGCGGGAAGACAAATTTTCTTCGTCAAATCAAACTGGATACTATTCAGAAAAGGACCAACAAAACTCTACAAGGCAAACTAATAATTTTCGTGTTTAAAAATGTCCACAGCGCAGTGTTGTAACGAATCAGAAATTGATAATGAGAACGGTGCTTGGGTTTCCAGTATGGCTAACTGTGTTTAAACCTTCCTTAATTTCCGTCTCTGTTTGTTAATCAGTTTGTTGCGAGCGACAATCTACACTAGCTCGTGGCAAAACTGTGTTCACTGTTTAAAATATTTATTCTAAATTGGAAGTGCGCTTTTTTTTAATACATGGACATTGTGACTATGGATTTTTTATTTAGAATTGATCTGTGCCACAGATATAGCCACTAAACAATGCTAACCATCAAGTATTTTAACAATTTATTAGGAGTAAAGAAACATCTTAGTAAAATAGATATCAATATTGATTACAAAATGACTTGACTCTGTGGCCGTAGAATTACGATAAAGATGATTATGATAATGATAATGACAGTGGAGGATCTAGACCTTGATCTAGGGGGGACGGGCAGTTTTTTGTCGCTTGCCCTACTGGCTTTTCTTCCTTCTGCGATTCTTTTTTTTTTGTAAACCCAAAATAAGGAGGGGGACCCGAACCCCCCAGGGCCCCTCCCTTAGATCTACCATTGAATGATAATAACACTGACAACGGTAACGATAATGATAACGATAACGATAAAGATAGAAGTAATAGTGGCAGAAACTGTAATGATGATAATAATGATGAAGATATAGATAATTAAAGTACAAATTTAACAAAACATTTGTGACCTTTTCTTCTGGTTTCTGGAATTCTCCAACCACTGGACACAGCATTCAAAGAAAGTCATCGATGTCCAGTGTCACTGAAATGATCAATGTTCTTTCACCAAGGCCAAATCTAGCTTCGATTAATTCTGTGCACATTAGGTACTTATCAGGGTTGTACCCCCCGTTAATTACTCTGGTCCCCCACGTCTGAACACCGTGATCATAACTAAGTAACCATATGACATTGTTTGAGGAAAGTTGTAATGACATGAGACCGTGGTGACAAGTTACCCAGGCTGGTAAACGTATGTGTAATTGAAAACTCGTTTTTCACTGCTGTCAATAAAGCGGCGAACTTCACTGAAAAACAGGTGCAAAGTTGCAGAGTGTGTCATAAGATTAGAACATTTCAATCCATGTGCATTCTTTCCTTTTTAAAGTAATAAACTGTACTGTATATCACGATAATTATCGAAGGCGGCATAAAATTACGAGATCGCGTGGATTCCTTGTGTTCGCTTGTTTGAAAGGCCCAGTAATTCGAAAAAGAGCGTCAAAAGGTCATGAGGAAATTTTTTCGATCAAGAATTTTGAACGAATGGAATCAGTCTCGGTTTTTTAAGCGTTAATTTATTATATATGAAATAAAGCAATTTTGCTCTTTTTAATGACATGCACACTACAATGACAATGGTATTGAAAACTCGTTTTCTGCTGCTGTCATTCAAGCGGCGAACTTCACTAGAAACAGCTGCAAAGTTGCAGAGCGTGTCCTAAGATTGGAAAATTTCAATCCATGTGTTTGTTTCTTCTTTTAAGTAATATACTGTACTGAATATCACGATAATGATCGAAGGCTGCATGAAATTACGAGATCGCTTGGATTCTTTGTGTTCGTTTGATAAAAAGGCCTATTAATTCGACTTAAGGTTATAAGAATATTTTTTCGACCAAGAATTTTGTAGGAATGAAATCGGTCTCAAATTTTTAATCGTCAATTCCTTGTATTATCATAATTATTATAAGTTTTATTAGTATCATATCATTATTATTGTAATTATTATTTCTGAAAAATTTACCACTTCTCCCAGGCAAGAAGTTAAGCAAAACAGAAGTACCAGTACTTCGCAGAGCAATCAGTTGGGTCAATCAAATGACACGTACACAATCATCTGTTTTTAGCTATAGAACCGGCTTAGTACTTACTAGGAATTTAAATACAGGGTAGCACACATATCAGCGAGATGTTTGACATCTATACAGATTCTATGCTGAAAGCGAGATTGTTACTTTAATAACAACCGAAAAGCGTTTTTTACTTTTTTCGGAATGTTATTTTTTTGGTTGGAATATTACATGTCTTCGACAGGATGCTCTTTGTCCTTTGGGCAGGGCTTAGTTAGTATTGGCTACCGACCAAGCTTCTCTGGAAAGGTGTGGTTGATTATCCTGCGGGGGACGTACCGTGCCAATATGCATGAAGTCGAGAAACGCACGGCGAAGTGTTGCAATTCGCCAGAAGTAAATCAAGGGGTTAAGAAGCGAGCCTAGCAAGACAGACGTGAAAGACCATGATGAAATAACGTACAATAAGTGAGGCTCCACCCAATCATTTGATATAGCTGCGTATATATTAAGCACAAGTGTGGGCATGTACGAGAACAGTAGCCCTGTTACAATGATTGTAAAGGTATAAGATGCCTTGTTATTCTTCCTCAGTTGCTGGGTCTCCTCTGCGGCCAACTGGTGGGTCTGCATACGGCGCTTTTGCCTTTGGGACTCCAGTAAGACTACCACACAAGTGTATAAAATGACAGCAATGTAAACAAAAACGATTAAGGCTGTCAGCAGTTCGAAGATGGTTAGTAACGGCTGGTTCTCTACTAACTCATTCGTAGAGGCCATCATTATCATCGAGATTGAAAACGATGCTGATACGACCCAGACCGTTAGAACACCAACTATCATTCTGTTCTCCGTGGCAATTTCTTCGTATCTGAGGGGCAGCTTTATGAAGACGTAGCGTTCGACGCTGATTAAGACGAGATGGCCAACCGACGCGAGGCAAAATCCATAGGAAGTCACCGAAACTACAGTGTCAAGCGCGCAAAACGGTGCGAAACCGTTCAAGTGCTTGATTTCTGACACCACGAACAAGGGTTGTACCAACATGCCAACCAATAAATCCGTTGCCCCCATACACGCAAGGAGAATGTTGTAGAGAGTTCTTAGCTGTTGTTTCGACGCTATGACTGCGACGACCAATGCATTTGACAGGATGGCTACAATGGCTGAGATAGAATTAATGCAGATGACAGCGATTAGGTTGTGGTGAACACCCCTGTGAGGTACCCCGGCTGCCAGGCCGCGTAGCTAAGGTGATTGCAATCTTCTAATGATACGTTGCTCGCAGGTAAACTTGTCTCCGACATTTACACGAGATAGTTCTGTCTAATATTTAGTAACGTGAATGATCGAAGTGTAACTCAAAGCGTTGGATTTTCCAATCGTGTATGGGTTTTTAAAGATTTATCTTGCAAGAAAAGGACCAATCATGAATATTATTGTTTCCTGTTAATTGTTTAACACGTGTTCCATATACAGTCCAGACAGTGCTGATTGTGTTTAAAAATAAATTCGGTTTCACAGTTCTACAATGTTTCTTTTCTCCTGAATAAGATTTTCTGCAGAATTCGCTTAGATAGTTAAGTTGGCAAGTTCGAAGAATGACACATCATGAAAAAACGATTTCTCTCAACAAGAAAGTTAATTTGCAAGAATTCCCAAATGATAATTTTATTTTCGAGCATTTTAGTAGGGTGTAAGCAAATAACACCTACATAATCGTCTGGACCTTTATTACAGAGTATCCCATGCTACCAGCAGGACTGTTTAGATTTATACAGATTTTATGCCGCAAAATTGTGTGGGCTGCTTGTGTTTGCATAAGATTATTTCGCTGGGAAATATAGCACCAATTAAAAATGGTAGATATTGCATCCGGTATCAGTGGATCACTTATAGGAGATTTATTTCTATGATTGCCTAAGCTGGTTAATACTATCTCCTGGGAAGAAGCAGCTGTGATTCAAAGTGACTAAGACGATAGTGATGATAAATCAATAACAAGAATGAAAATAATAATAACAGAGATGATAATATTAACAACATTTCTAATAATAATAATTATAATTATAATTACAGTCATGATAATGATGATGATGATAATGATAGTTATGGTACAGCCCGTTGTATCTCATTTAAACACCTAAAATGTCAAACACGAGCTATCGTGTTCCTATGGCACTATTTTATCACCTCCCACTCCTTTTTCTCCTCCATCTTGAACCTCTCACTCGTACCCTAAAATAAAAACCATTCTGCATTCAGGATCTGTCTAAGTTTTCAAATCCTTTTCCTCTTCGCAATCATGATTATTTTTTTCTAGAAGCGCATATACTGCATTTTTTACCGCTGTTCCCTTAATCAGAAGTAAAAGAGGAAATGAAAAACCTACTCCTTAGGTAGTTGCTGAAAATGAAATGGAAATCGTTACTAGTTTCAAGCTAAGCATAATTTAGTCATCTCTTGAAGTTATCATCTTCGATAAAGTTCTTTTCGTTTAATAAAAGTTCTTCGCCACTAGTGACTACTTTCCGAGCCTCATTTGCAGGGGTCGACTGGATCACCTGGTTGGATTGTAATTCCATATCTGGGCTGATTTATGTGCATCTTATGTGCAGAATCTCGCGAAATGCGCGGCGAAGCTTTTAGAACGCCAGCAGTAAAAGAGTGGGTGAAGGAGTGGAACTCATCAAACCAGACGTGTAAGACCACGATGAGACTGTGTGCAACACATGAGGCTCCAACAGGGTATCGGAAAAAGGTGCTCCTACT